CAACACCTTAAGGTTGATCTCCTTGGTGGTGAGTTCCTTTCCAAGCTCAGAGATCTCTCCAGTGAGAGTGAGGAGCCTGTCATACATCTTGGAGATGCTTTCACCAGGAAGAAGCTTGAAGTCATCAAACTTCTTGTTGGCTATTGTCATCTTGTTGTCTTTCTCTTGCTCATCACGAGCTCCAATGAGCTCAAGAGTATCCTAGATTTCCTTTGCAGTCTTGCACTTCTTTATTCTGTTGAAGTACCTATCATCGATGGACTTGTAAAGAATGTCTTTAGCAATGTTGTCCAGATTGTACTTCCTTCTTTCTTCAGTGGTCCACTCAGATTTGGCCTTATTGATCATCTGAGGTCTAGTGTTGTCAATAGCATGTTCAGGGTTGACCTTCTGGAAGCTTGTGAAGGGCCCAATGTCAAGTACTTCCCACATCTCATCATGCAGAGCACAGAGATGTGCCTTCATCCGGATCCTCCAGTCATCAAACTTGAGATCTGAGAACATAAGATTCTTGGAAAGGGAGTGATCCATTATATCAGATTAAAAGGGAGATAAAACAGAAAAACAAGTGGATCTTTGTTCAGCAAATAACCTAAGAGATTATTAGAATAAGGAGGCTCTGATACCACTTGTTGGTCCCGGTTGACTGGATACAGTCTAGAGGGGGGTGAATAGACTGTATTGGTTTTTAGCTTTTTCAAGCTAAGTACCAGAGTTAACAGAATAGCCTGTTATGTGGGCAGAACAGACTGGCAGCGGATGGGGTTCTGGTAGGGAGTTCTGTTAGTAGCCTCAAAGAAGCAAAGGCAGTATGCCTTCTGTTAACTCACAAGACAAGTTCTGCTGAACACAGATACCAAGTCTTTGGAGTTAAGCAGTTCAAACAAAAGCAATGAATGTAATGCAGTAAGTAAATGACACCAGGGTTTTTTATAGTGGTTCAAGGAACAACTTGTTCCTCTAGTCCACTGTTCCACTAAGCTTGTAAAAACGTCCGTTTACAATGCCTTAGCCCTATCACTTAAGAAGCTCTCCACGTCTTCTTCAAGTGTAGATGTCTTCTTGGATGCACTTCCGGCTTCCCTAAGACTGGTCCTTTCACTGAGCTTTCCAGAAGTAACACCACTTCACTGCTCCAGGTACTTGGACGTCCTTCTTGTGAAAGAAGAGGTTCTATTTAGAACAGAGGTTCCTCCAACTTGCTTCGTTACAAAGAGTTTGTATGTGATGAGCTTGAAGAGTTGAAGAACACTTGGAACTTTGCTTGAGTTGGAAATAAGGATTTTTCCAACTTCTGTCTTCTCTTGTAGAGGATGATGAAGTTTCAATCTCAAGGAGGCTTTTTGCGTTTTTAGCGTTTGAATATCTTGTATGCAGAGTTGTAGCAAAAGTTATAGCAAAGTTATCCGGTTGTTCTTCGTAGTGTATCTTTTATACTGAGGTTGTCTTCCCGTTGGAGGAGAAGGAGGACAACTGCATTAAATGAGCGAGCAGTTGACTTGACCATTAGGACCCGGTAAAGTTGGCGGGTTACTATTTTGGGATAAAGTAATCCTGACATTGCGGCCAATCATCTACATTTACTTTTCAGAGTATGGAAGGCATTAAATGTGCATTTAATACGCGTACTGTAGCTTTTCTGTTCAAGACTCCTAGCCGTTGAAGGAATCTTTCAGACGATTTCCCGGCTTGGTGAAATTCTCCTAAGTGTCAGGCCTTCTGGTGTCTTTAGCAGAGAGTTGATCAGAGAAGGTCTTGAGCACTTCTGTTGAGAAGATATCCAACAGAGAACCAGGAGGGTTTCTGTCAGAGTAAAGGATAACAGAGACCCTGAGGTCTTCTGTTCAAAAGCAGAGAACCAAAGGTCTTCTGTTTAACCAAAGCCTTATCAAGGGTCCTCTGTCAGGGGGTCTTCTGTCCTGGGGGCTTTCTGTTCTTGAGGCCTTCTGCCAGTCGATTATACTAAAGAAATTTACAAAGGAAAATTTTAATACATTGAGTCTAAAGAGGGGTACTCTAAAGTCTTAATTAATCTAGAATCATCAAAATCTAATTACAAATATTCCTTACGGTATATATAATATATATACACGGGGTATAAAGAAACATTCACATCCAGACTTTCGTATACTTTAAAAAATGGAACAAACTATTCCTGCCCGCTAGATAAAATTAACGGTGGCGATGAAACGGTGCTTGGGTTTATTTTCTCCCGCTCAGGATTACTTCCATGAGACTTTCTTTGCGCTCTTTTATTTCTTTCTCCTCCAGAGCTTTCTTTCCCCGTCCTCTCCTTTTGTTTCAAGATTTCTCCTTCCATAAACCAGAGAGGCCCGGTACAAAGAGTGAGCTCTTTCCCCTTGCGTGAACCAGTTACAAGCTCTTTCTCAACTCTTCTTCCAAAGTCCTACGGGTAACAAACAAGCTCTACTTGATACTTATAAATCTAGTATCCTATAATGCCCGGAAACGTGGAAAGGCCAGCGTTTCCCCGTATCGGAAACGTATCGACATTTCCGAACGCGAGAAACGTCCGAAACGCGTGTCGGGCCCGTTTCTTAATTTTCAAAAGTTTGGAAACCCGTTTCCCCCCAAAACAGAGTTTCACCAAAAAAGAAAAACCAAAGAAATTAGAAATCTGCGGAGTATCTGCGGACTTCTTCTTCTTCAGTGATTGGCTGTCTTCAGCGAAGATCCTATTAGTATATGCGCTCTTCGTCTTCAGCAGGTCAAGGAAAGTCACAATCTGTTCTCCTTCTGCTATGTAGATTGTGTTATCTGCCGTCTCAAGATGTCCGGCTCTGTTTGTACTTGGTCTGATTTTGTTTCTCGACATCACACTTCTCCCCTGAGTCGGTGGGTGGGATTTGGGGTTGAAATTAAACGTGCAAGTAGTATGAGTAATGTTGTAGACTTGGCCTAGTAGGTGAACTTGATGATGTCCAGCTGTCCACTAAGTGATTATGAAATTTATTAAACATTTTTCATTCATTTAAACATATAAATGTGTATGATATACGGAGTATAGGAATATGGCAGTTGTGGAGTACTATAGTACTATACGCAGCAAAAGTTGCTACTTTAATTTACATATATATGTGTATGTGTGTAAATATATACGGAATATATATATATATATATATATATATATATATACATATAAAAAAAATCACAAATATATATATATAATATTTATAAAATAACCCCTATATTTTTAATATTTGCGCGTTTCCCCCGCGTTCGTGTCCTGTATTTTTGGTAAATGGCGTTTCCGACATTTCCCGTTTCCCATTTCTCGTTTCCCGTTTCCCGTTTCCGTGCTACTTAGCTAGTATCTATTGAGTATTAATGAAGAGTCCTTGTATTCTAATAAATTTCAATTTGGATTCAACAAAGATTCATTAATTTTTGGCTTGAGATTATGATGGAATAAAGCAAAATGGCTCACTAAACTGTCTGCGCTTCTTTGTTATGAAGCAGCTGTCGATCCATGCAATGTTGGACGTGATTTTCACTATGGGTCATACGGAAACAGTCTCTTTGTGCTTTAGTGCATGAGTAAGACTGCGTAGATACGACCCCTACTTACCCCACCGTAGGTGGGAGCCTTTGCGACACTGGGGTAAATGAAAATGATGATTCATCAAAATTATAGAAGATTCATGATTTGAGGTTGCAAATGATATTATTCCAAATGCCGCTTCTGATAAAAAATCGCATATTGGGATGAAGTTTGAATGTATAGAGGATGTTTAGGATTTCTAAAATGCTTACCCTAAACATGTTGGATTTAGTGTGCGCATGAAATCAGTGAAAAAATAGACTAGTGGGAGTAGTGGGGTTGTAAAGTCAAGAGTTTATACATGCAATAAAAAGGGCTTTGATAGAAACCCAATGCATGATATACAAAATGAAAGGTGTAGCACAAGCACATGTACGGGTTGTCTCACAACGCTTGGTGTTGTGAAAAGAAAAAAAAGTGATGTTTTTGAAGTATATATGGATTTGAGGAGGCTCATAATCACTTGTGTGTAACACCAAGCAAAGTGCATATGCTCAAGTCCCATCGCAAAGTGTCTGATGCGAAGAAAAAGCTCTTTTCTACGCTACGATCCAATAACATCACCATCCCTCAAGCAATTAATGAGAATATTCAATTCGGAATCAGGGGCCTTGATGACATAGGTTTTGTGGAAGCAGACTGGCGGAACCATATCTGGAATGAAAGGCATGAGGTAAAAGGAAAAGATGTGCATATGTTCGTGGAACACTTCATGTTGGAGAAGGAATAAAACCCATCATTCTTTTATAAAATCAAAACAAACAATGATAAGAATATCGAGCTGACATTTTGGGCAGATCCTACATGCAGGCACTCATATCATTTTTTGGTGATGTGGTTACTGTTGATTCTACATATAACACCAATTCATATGGGTTTCCGTTCACACCCTGACCTTTCTTGGTGTTAACCACCACTTTCATTCTATCTTGTTTGGATGTGCATTTATGCACAAAGAGACATTTGAATCATATTTATGGGTATTAGAGGCATTCTTGGAAGCCATGCCAGGACCACCCCCAAATGTGATGATTACCGACCAAGATCCTGCTTTGTGTAAAGCAATTGGTCACCTCCTTCCAATGACTTATCACAGGTTTTGTGCATTTATTTTTGGTATTTTATTACAGGGTTACTTTGAGATAATATGATAAGGGATAATAATTACTCACATGTGTGTAGTTTCTGATTTTGTATGGGATGTAATATGATACTACGTATGTGATAATAATAACTGTGTAGTTTCTGATTTCATATGGGTAGTTTAGTTATTCTTAAACCTAGACATAGTATATCTACTTTTACGGTTCAAGTTTTAATTATAAGATTACTTGAACTGATAGAATACAATTAGTTATATAATAACTATATTTACTAGCTAACTACATACACTTCGAATAATGCAGGTTTTTCATATGGCATGTGTTAAGCAAGGTACCCGAAAAAGCTGGGCATCCAATTAACTCACTTCCAACCTTTGGAAAAAGTTTCCATGTTACTAAGCACTCACAAACACCTGAAGAATTTGAAGAAGAATGGGCAAATGTCAGTGGAAAATGGTCTCCAAGAAAATGGGTGGATGTCTTACATGTTTGAGGTTCGTGAACAATGGGTTTCATCTTATTTCAAGAACTTCTTTTCAGCCGACATGTCCTCAACACAACGAAGTGATGCTCTGCCTTAGGACTAGTCACTAAATATGTCACTTTTTTGAAAATTTTTAAAGTAGGTCATATTTTTGTCGTTTGAATTTATTTTAGTACGTTATATTCATGGAAAAACAAAATGACATGTATATTACATATAGCAGGGGCGGATCCATGATAGAGAGATGGGGTGGGCTAAGAAAAAAAAAGAAATTATTACTATCCATACAAGGTTTAGCTCGAATCGAGCTTTTTTTGAATTATATGGTCAAGTTCGAGCTTGATTTCAAATCTAATTTAATGACCAAGTCTTAACAAGCTTCCAACTCGAACACGAACTACGTTTTAGTGCAATTTTATAAATATATTAATGATTACTAAATATTTGATTATTTATTGAATAATTTGAGTATGAATCTATTAACGAGTATAGTCTAAACTTCTACCCTCGAACATGTTTATCGAGTATTAAAATCGAACACCGAAAATCTGTTGAGCCAAACTCGAGCTCAAATTCATACTAGGTAAATATTCATTTAATTTTCCTTTCTTGATAATATGTTCATTATTCATTCTAAAAAAAATTAACACATTCACAATCACGGCATAAGTGCATAACACATTCACAATTTAACAATTCAATTAATTATCAAAGAAATTGAAAATCAAAAAAAGAATTACAAATACGGAAATACCTGATTGAGCAGTGAAGAAGGGCCAGTCGGCCAGAGGCTTAGTGCGGAGGGCCGGAGGCAGAGCACCTGAGCCGGATTCGAGAGAAGAAGCGCGGAGTGGCGGACGACGTCGGTGGCAAGGCTGCTGTTCACGTCTTCGTCGCAGACTCGCTGGTTCCCGTCATCGGCTCATCACCATTCGCACGCTCCAGTTCGATAACGAAGATAAGCACAACTGTGCAGGTAATTAAGGCATTAAGGCAAGTGATGGGTTGTTGCCTGTGGGCTGGACGGATGGGCTTGGAATTAACTTTGGGATGGACTAAGATTAATTTAGAGATGGGCTGAGTAATTTAACATATACCTATACTAACAAAAAGAAAAAAATTGGGCTGGGCTTAAGCCCACCCCAGGCCTAACTACCATCCGCCCCTGCATATAGAGTTTCCTCGGACATAAACATGACTAGTCAGTTGTTATACCATGGGAGCAGCCCACGGTGAGCATAGTGCTCACACAGATAAATCATGTGTGATCATAAACTTTTTTTTATCCAAATGGCATAGTGGCATAACTCGTGTGTAAAATAATGTAACTCACATTGATATCACTACAAGAATTCCGGAAAATAGTGGCGGAAATTAGTGACGAAATACTCTGCCCCACGAATTTATGACGAAATGTAAAGACAGATACATATGCACCGCTAATGCGTGGCGGACATACTGTGTCGCTATTTAGTGGCAGACTTTAGGGACCGTTCCATCTTAGACAATAATTTGTGGCTAAATTTTGTGGCTGAAAATGTCGTCATGAAACAATGGCAGAATTATTCCGCCACTAAACTCCGTCACTAAATTACACATATTAAATTCTACTCACCAACCAAAATCATTGTCCACAAATATCTCATCTACCACTTTCTCTACAAGCTCTCTTCATTCGATCTGCCATGTCCATACGAGAGAGGTAAGAAATTTATCATCTCTTAATTAAATTAAAATTTTGATCTATATGTCTTTTTTTAGATAATTAGTTCTTAATTACTAATAAAGTAAACTTATTATTACATTCTTTATTAGCTTCTTCCGATCTATTTAATTATTTTATGATTAATTTACAAAGAAAAATGAATATATGTATTATATTGTGTGCTAGGTCCATGTAGATGCTAAAATGCAAATGACACCATGTTTAACAATATTATAATACATACTTATTGTACGTGTTTTTGTTGCTTGCTTTGAAATATGTAGGAAAATTTCAAAGAAATTTAAGAACTATAATAAAATTTAACATTGTTGGTCGTTGTTTATTTTTATATTAATTGAAAGATAAATAATTGAAGTTGTTTATCTACGTACTATTAATATATATATATATATATATATATATATATATATATATATATATATATATATATATATATATATATATATATATATATATTGTTGATAAGAAAGTAGTCACGAGGTTATAAAAGTTCCTTAAATTAATTAATTTCATTTACTATGTGAGGTGAAGATCTAATATTTAATAGCATTTATATGTTTAGATTTCAAAATGAGCAATAATAGGTCTTGGATGTATGAAAGACTCGAAAATCGAGGCTTTCTAAATGAAGACTTCAAAAAATGAGTTAATGAGTTTATTCAAAAGGCGGTAAACTTATATCCAAGTGGGGTTATTGCATGTCCGTGTAGAAAGTGCAAGAATAGAAAATTGTTCACTTGGGATATTGTTTAACAACATCTATTTGAAAAAGGATTTGTTGAAGACTACTATGTATGGGGAGCGCACGGAGAGACATATAATTCAAATGGGCTGGTTTATTTGGATGAAGGTAGCTCTTCCCATCATAATACATCTGAAGTTCCATATGACCCATATAAATCGATGTTTGAAGATGTTGTTAGGAATGAATTTCCTATCGGCCCGCCTGATGATATGCATGTGGATGATGACGAGCCTAATCCAATCACAAACAGCATGTATGAAATACTTGCTGCGACAAGTCAGCCATGTTTTGATGGTTGTCCAATGACGGAGTTGAGTGCCATGACTGAATTGTTGAACTTAAAGACATAGATGAATTTATCGGAGGCTGCCACTGACAGAATTGCTCAACTTATGAATAGGTTTTTCCCAACACATATCTCCAATCGGCCCATCCAGAATTTCAAGAAAATTAAAAGGAAGCTCTCACTATTAGGAATGACCCATCAATCTATTGATTGTTGTCCAAAAGGGTGCATGATCTATTGGAAAGCAGACAGTGAACTAATTGAGTGCAAATTTTGCTCTAGTGCAAGGTACGAGGTCAATAACCAGTCAAGTAAACCAATCCCGCTTTCCAGGATGGAGTATTTTCCGATTACTCCAAGGCTACAGAGGCTTTATGCCTCAAATACAACTGATGGGGATATGAGATGGCATAAAAGTCACCACAGAGAAGAAGGAGTGATGCGACATCCATCAGATGGAAAGGCATGGATTCATTTTGACAATATTTATCCATCTTTTGCCGAGGACCCTAGAAATGTTAGACTCGGGCTATGCTCAGATGGGTTTCAACCATTTGGACAATTTGGATAGAAGTATTCATGTTGGCCTATTATCGTGACACCATACAACCTGCCTCCAGGTATATGTATGAAACAACAATTCCTGTTCTTATCTGTATTGATTCCAGGACCAAAGAATCCCACAAATAGGATAGATGTTTATTTGCAACCTTTGATAGAAGAGTTGAAGCAATTATGGGAGGTTGGAACTGTAACTTATGATGCATTTTCAAAGGAGCACTTTAATATGTGAGCTTCTTTGCTTTGGACAATTAGTGATTTTCCAGCATATGCCATGCTCTCTGGATGGAGTACGAAGGGGAAATTTGCATGCCCATGTTGTACCGAATTTACAGAAGCATTTTGGTTACCCCGCAGCAGGAAACATAGTTGGTTTGATAACCACCGAAAGTTCCTAGCAGAGGATCATCCATTTCGATTGGACACCGAGAACTTCAAAGGGTAAAACAGTCATGTATGGCCCTCCATTATATAGAGATGGATTATATTGTTATGGTGAGATGGATGCCCTAATGTCTGTGACTGAATTAGGCAGTTTAGAACACAACAAATTAGTTGGAAAGGATATTGGGTGGAAGAAACGTAGTATCTTTTGGGATCTCCCATATTGGAAGGATTTGCTTATACGCCACCATCTTGATATAATGCACATAGAGAAGAATTGCTTTGAGAACATATTTTACACGATTCTGGGTGTGTGCCAGGGAAGTCAAAGGACCATACACGAGGGAGAATGGATATGGAACACATTTGTCATAGACCGGGTATGAAGATGGACTGTGACGGAAAATATCCCAAGGCTCCTTTCACGCTTTCAAACAAGCAAAGAGAGGTTTTGTGCAATTGGGTTGATTCACTTAAGTTCCCCGATGGATTCGCATCTCGATTAGGACGTTGTGTAGAAATGGAGAACCTTAAGGTATTCGGTATGAAGAGTCACGATGGTCACGTTTTTATGCAACGTCTACTTCCAATTGCACTGAGAGAAATGCTACCTGCTTGTATTTGGGAGACAATTACTGAGATTAGTTTATTCTTTCGTGAGCTAACAAGAAAGACTGCACGAGTTTCTGTCATTGAAAAGCTCAAGGTTGATATTCCTATCATTTTATGTAAATTAGAGAAGATTTTCCCACCCTCATTTTTTGACCCCATGGAGCATCTTCCCATACATTTGCCGGACGAAGTTTTGCTAGGCGGACCACTGCAATATCGATGGATGTATCGCTTTGAAAAGTTAGTGTTTATATATATTTTTTTCATAATATAGTATTGTGTTATTGATACTCTAAATCATAATTGTTCATATTTACCCAGTTTTTTAGGGTCAGCGTTAAAGAAAAAGATTGGCAACAAGGCTAGAGTTGAAGCCTCAATTAGAGAAGGTTATTTGCTAAGTGAAATGGGTACATTTGCAAGCTACTACTTCCCAGAGGAAGTCACCACAAAAGCACGTGGTGTCCCGAGATTTGATGACGGGTTTATGATTAATGATGATATCGTTGTTTCCATTTTTGCACAAAAGGCAAAAGCAATTGGTGCAAGCACACGCCGATACATGAACCAAAACGAATCCAATGCAGTGCATTCATATGTACTACAAAATTGCCCAGAGATTGACTCATTTAGAGAGTAAGCCATATTTATGTAATTATTGATTTCTTAAACTAAAATGATAGTAGTTATAATCTAATAATTTTTTTTGCAGAATGTTCACAAATGCAACCGGATTAACAACCTCTGATGAACTTCAATTTCAAGCACAATTTCCGCTCTGGTTTTATCATTATGTGAGTATTTAAAGTTTAGAATTTCTTTAGTTGATAGATTAAATTTTGTTTTGGAAATATAGTTATTGTTAACATATATTAAGTATGTGTATTTATGTTTAGGTGCGAAATGACACTATCGATCATCCACGATGGATTCGGGCTTTAGCTGGATTTCCTGCTCCATATGTGACGACCTACCAAACACTTCATATAAATGGTTACAAGTTCAACACTATTGCGCGATCTGAAGGGAGAGTGACCTGTAATTGCGGAGTTATGGTCAAGTGCACAAGTTCAGATGGTTTGGCATTGGTCTACTATGGTTTAATACATGAAATAATTCAGCTAGAATACCAAGATTTTAAGATAATAGTCTTCAGGTGTGAATGGTTTGAACCTTCATGTAGAGGCACACGACTCCATCCATTATACAATATAGTGGATGTAAACACACAACATCGACTTCGTACTTCAGATTGTTATAGCTTAGCATCACAGGCGGATCAAGTTGTGTATGTTCCTTATCCTAATACAAAGAAACGAGTCAATAGATGGGTTTCTGTTATTCAGTGCATGCCACGAGCTTTTGTGATGAGAGATTTGGGAGAAGATTCGACACATGAAGATGAAGACTTTCAAGTGTTTCAAGAAGACGAGCCCATGAATTCATTCCAAATAGAGGTAGATGAACAACAATTTCCAATTTCATTCCAAAGAAGAGAAAGGAGAACAAGTGAACGACAACCTGTGTACAGAACAACTAGGTACGGGAGTTCCAAAATCTAATCTTATACGTTGCTTGTTTTTCATTGTTCGAATGTAAAATTCGAGATGTTGTTTCTTCTATCACACACCAGTTCAAACCCAAACTATTTTTTGTCTAAATCTAGGTCTTCTAAGTTGTGTTCGTAATATCTAAATTGGATTGTGTTCAACTGTTTGATTAATATACTTGATATGTGGTTTTGTTATGCATTCTAACTGTTTGATAAAAGTACTAAAAGACTTGTGAAGTGAATATTTTCCAGATTTGTGAATTTTAAAATGAAAACATGTTCTACTCTTGTTTTAGTATTAAACTGTTAGGAAATTTTCTAAAGAGACATTGACATATACTAGTATATCTGTAGGAATTAGATTTATTTTTATGTAAACCACATAAAGATTACCCTATGATTATTAAACATATGAAATGGACTATGACTGTGTATAATAACTCTCATAGATAGTTTGTCTATATTTGAAAATTGAAACTTCATAGTACATTTAAATATTGAACTCCAAGATTCAAAACATATTATGTCAGTAGCCATTGGAACTTTAGGTTTTATTTTATTTGATAAACCTAATCTGTGAACTAGCTACTCTACTTCAATTCGCCCTAAACAGTTTCGTGCAAAAGAGATAGATGAGAACGATGAGCGTTATACAACCTAATCAGGTACATGAGCTTTAATACATGCCCTTTTATGTCACTTGTTTACTCTTCTTGTGTGGATAATATATTATAGAAAGGTCATCTAAGTTTACTTGATAGTTCGATTTCTACAAAATCAACAGGTATGGCTGCTTGTTTTCTTGGGAGGAAACTTTTAATAGAAATACATGATAGAAAAAATCAGTAGACCTCGACGTTCCATTGCTCTCCCCTCTTGATTTGTTTCTTATTTTCCACCCAATCAATTCCATCTTTAGCAGCAAGTAAAGTCATGATGTTTTCTATTTCCTTTTCCATGCCCTTGAGTCCATAGATATAAACGAAAGTGTTTTGTTTTTGAATAATTCCTGGAGCTGCTCTGCATAATGTGCCATTCTGGTATGGATGTTTATTATAGGTGGTATGCAACTTTGGTTATGCCCTCGAACCAAATGATTATTCCTGGAGCTGTTCTGCATAATGTCCTTTAATTCTAAAATTGGGAGCAAATGATTGTTTGGAGATATTATGTATTGTATTTTGCACTCAATAACATTATTTTTTTGCATGTTTTAGAATATGATTCCTATTAGAGGTCATGGTGTCACCGGGATGAACAAGAAAGCAAACCGCTTATCGCAAGAGACATCATCAGGTAGTTCGGGTCGCTCAAGACCATCTCTGCCCTTCACTATGCCGGGCAGAAACTCTACCCCCCCCCCCCCCCCCCTCAACATCATCTCTTAGCCACTCAAAAAAGCATCAACCCTTGTCTAGTAAGGGCAGAAATATTACCCCCCCAAGTAGGACAGACACGACAACCTCCACAACCACCCCCGTCCCAATATCATAATACTCGGGTTCCTAGCCTAAATATCACAGCAGTCACTAACCGGCATCCCACCATTTCACCAACTCAAGGCCCTAATAAAGACCATACTTTGCTCTCCAATCAAGAGAGCCCGTCAACAACAACGAGCAACAATGAACTAGAAGATAGTGACCCAACAACTCATTCCAATGGAGAAGACGACCTAGCTGAATGGAATCCTGATGCATACAAAGATCTCGAGTAGGGTGAAGAACCTTTGGACCACTTCAGATCTTTAGCTATAGCAAAATTTGAAAGACCCAATGTTGGGTTAAATGCATCTATAGTGTGAGTTAAATATAAAATGGTACTAAATTATACATTCTATCTTCTGATAATAAAGCATTAATGATAATAAATCAAAATGTTAATTTCATTGCAGACTTATAAATATTGTTTCCAACAAAACAAGTTTGCGATTTCAAACAATTGTCTCAAGACAGATAAAGTACAATCTGCATCCGGATGGGCAACAATGGAAGTGGGTACCCGAGAGGACAAAGGATTTATATTGGGAGCAATTCCAGGTTTGATCATTTGAGTTAAAACCAGATATTTTCCTTTCAAATATCAATTAAGTTGTCTTTAACTTTCAAAAACTGTAACTAATTGTCTTTGACCTATACGATTTGCAAGTTTTTTGGATTATTTATTTTTATAATGCTAAACCAAAGTCCATAAAGGTATCCAATTTAGCATTACATGCATAACATTTTTATACTAATTTATTAACTATTATAATATAAATACTCTATAAGTAAAAGTAAAAGTAACTTTTACTTTTAAACTCTCAATTTTGAGTATTAATATAATTCTCTTTGACATATAGGATTTAGTAAAGTGGGATATATCCAAGTTCAATGATGAAGACATCAGGAAGGGTTACGAAAATTATCTTAAGCAACGTGCTTATTCCAATATAATGTCTAAATTTAGGTGAGTAAAATAATTATTATTTCGTTTTATATTTCAATTTAACTTCTATGAAAAGTGTATATTTTAAATGTTCATATAACACTTTTGAATATTCAAGGGCTTGTCGGTCTCTAACTGTGAATGACTTCACTTGGGGGGTTGTGGAAGAGTTTCGTGGGTCTATTACATTTCAAAGATTGTCTGATTCTGGGAAAAAGAATCGGATTGCCGGTGGAGATAGATGCAAACAGTATGGAGGGCCTCGGTCTGCAGCAGATTTGGCAGCATAAGAGGTTTATTTCTAAAATTTATAATCTGTTTTTTATTGTACTTTCTTCACCTATTTCAAATTCAACTATTATTTTTGTAGTCAAGTGTTTCAGGAGAGGAAGTTAACCCTGTCAAAATCTGTGTAACTTATCATCCAAGAAAGAGAAAGAATGGAGAACTAATTGACTATGGCTCACAATCAGAAGTCATGGTGTGTTATTGTTTCTCTACTCTAAGTCGTAACAAATCATAATAATTATTCAATTGTGTAATTTGATCTGCTGAGTATATTTTGAATTTTCAAAATAATTCATGAAGTTATCTTCTCTTTGCTAGTATATTTTCTCACATGTGCTTTGTTTTCTATTGCAAGCATCCCCCATGATTTGTGATTGTGATTATCTCTTCTGAATTTTGAAATGTAATTTTCCAGAAGCTCAAGTCTTTATTCTAGGTTAGCATTACAAAACATTACAACAGGTTAGCATTACAAAGCATTACAGTAGGTTTTAGTACACTAGTTTCAAATTTCAGGTTTTGAAATTTCAGAATTAATAATACAGTAACTTTAAGATTTTCAAGTATCATTCATTCATTTCAAAGCCCAGATTTCAGATTTCCCAATTAGGTTACTACTGTAAGTCTGCAAGTCAATTACAGTAGGTTAGCATTACAAATCATTACAGTAGGTTAGTATTACAAAGCATTACAGTAGGTTTTAGTACACTAGTTTTCAAATTTCAGGTTTTGAAATTTCAGAACTAATAATACTTAAAATTTCAGAACTAATAAGAGTAGGTCTTAGATTTTCAAGTATCATTTATTCATTTCAAAGCCTAGATTTCAATTGAAAGCATCCCCATGAGTCTTTACTGTTAATACTTGTGTATTACTTAATACTTATATTCCCTCCTTATATGCATTGAATTGTATTAATCTTTTTATCAATTTGCTTAAATGTTATAAGAGTTCGTTTGCTTTAAAATATATTTTATGTGTACAGGAGGCTATTTTGAAGTTGTCTGATGAAATTAATGAGCACATTCAGCAAACTAAACAATCTGAAGCTGAAATTGGGGGCTCTAAGAATGCATCTAAAGCTGCAGTTGCTGAATTGAATTCCAAATATTTGGAAATCGCTGGAGGAAGAAACAAAAAAGTATTCGGATTAGGAAAGTATGCAAAAGCTTTCCTTCAACAATTGGAATCAAAATACCGAAAAGCTTCAGCATCTTCACAGCGTGCACATGAATTTTGTGTCTATTGGGATGAACACATGCGGAAGTGGTTATCTTCACAAGGCGAGGAATGCCCACCGGTAATGCCACTCGTGGATGAAAGCCTGCTAGATGAAGATCCTTGTTCACTCCCAAAAACTTTTGAGCAAACATGGCTTCTGATGGAGTAATAGGACTAGGCCCAGAGCCTAATCAGCCCAAACCTCGAACTTGGACCCGTGGATCCAAGTCCACAACCTAGAGCCTGCCTGCCAATCCAGCGGGAAGCCTGCCAGTCCGGCCGACCTCCTAGCCCGGAAAAGTAACGGTCAAGCAATTAATGTGCTATTAATTATGTATTTAATTCCGTATTAATGTTGTAATTAATTAGTCATTATTATCGGTAACGGTTACGATTTGTATACGCCTATAAAAGGCGGGTTGTAATTCAGATTAGGGGAAGCAACTTCTATATACTTTTTCTGGCTAACTTTCCATATTCGTACTTTCCTAATTCCTGCTTGAGTGTTCTTACGTAGCTTTCCTAAAAGCCTACGAGCGTCCTATTTTGGACCAACAACTTCCATTTCTGAAAACACTTGGAATGGATGCACCAAGTTTTTTTTCATTTTACTCCATCATCCTCTCAAGATTCTCAAAACACTTGAGTATTTGTTATTTCCAATTATATATCCAACTAGTATCCATATTATGAATTTAGTTGTATTTTTGGATTGTGGTATGGCTTTACTTATGGTACTCACAATGAATGTTGGTTGTTAAAGTGTGTTTCTATAAAAGTTAAGTTTTTGTGGCTACATAACCATACACACACACACACACACACACACACACACACACACACACATATATATATATATATATATTTAATTATGTACTTTGTACATTATTGAGATACAATCACATGTGTGGAGTACTCTATTATTATTATTTTTAAATTAATGCCATATAAATACACAATTGGAGCAAACTGAATGTTTTATTTTTATAAATATAATTAATTTAGTGACGATATTTAGTGACGAAATATCTGTCACAATTAACAGCGACGGAATCCGTAGCTGCAAAATTCTGCCATAGATTTGCGACTGAAGTGAAATTCTGTCACTAAGGCATTTAGCCGCGCGATTTCTGTGGCCGAATTTCCGTCATTAATACGTGTCTCTAACGTTGTTAATGACAGATTTAGTGACAAATTTTCTGCCACTAAAAAACGTAAATTCTTGTAGTGTATGAAATGTAACTGCAGGCAGCTCGAAATGTAACTTTTTTAATACTGAGTATATGAAATAAAACTTGCATTAATTTCATTGTAAACAATGAAATAAATAGTCTAATTGCTCAATTACTTTATACGGAGTATAAATAGTCAATATGTTTGTTTTTAATATTAAATCCGTAAAACTGTTTTTTTAACCTATTTTTTGCCAAAAGATATTTTTTTTGCAAAAGAATCATTTTTTGCCGTTTTTTAATTTTAAGAAACTTTTTTTCAATTGCAGGGGTTTATTTTGTTATGTAACTCGTGTTATGAAAAATGTAATCGCGTTGATGGACAATCTAACTTAGGTGCATGCAAAATGTAACTTGTTGATACAAGTCCAAATGTAACTCGCGCATATGAAGATATAACTCCATATACCATCAAATGTAAACCATGAAAATAAGGTCTAATTAATTGCTCAATTACTTTACATAAATAGTGGTTATGTCCTGTTTTAATATTGAGGTTATAAAAATGTTTTTTTAAACCCCAATTTTTTTTGCCAAAAACATCTTTCTTTTGCCAAAAAATCATTTTTTTAAAAAGATGATATTTTTGTTTCAATAGTGGGCTTTTGTTTTATGATGTAATCCGTGTCACGGAAAATGTAACTCTCGTTGACGGAAAATCTAACTTAGGCGTATGCAAAAAGATGTAACTTGTTGAGACAAAGTCAAATGTAACTCGTGCATAGAAAGATGTAACTCACACATAAGAAGATGTAACTCCATATACTATCAAATGTAATTTTTGAAATTATCTATAAACATAACTCTAATATATGATAACTGTAATATAATCTCATGTTTCATGAAATTTAAATCAAAATAAATTAATTTAATGTCTTAAAACACTAAAAACATATTAAAGAGATATGAAATATATATTTTTGCAAAGAGATAAGAAATATATTACGAAATGTAGAAAAAAGTGTATGAATATGAAAAGAATTTTACACAAAATTGTATAAATGTAAAAAAAAAATATACAAAAAAAAAATTTGATAGTAATTTCAGTTGAAGAAAAAAGCACAAAAGTAGTGTATGATTATTAATGCAATATACTTATTTTATGTAGTTTAATAATTTTTTTATTAAATTGGTAAAGAGAAAAAGTTAATTCAATTGTAATTGAATTAGTTAAAAATGAAAATAAGTAAAAGCATAATTATATATTTAGCACTTGCATTTTGATGGAGAAGGGAAAAGAATTGAAGAAATTTAAAAGAAACATGGAGAGAGAAATAACATAGCTAGAAGGCTTGAGGAAAAAGGACGAGAACTTATGTGATGCTCCCAAGAAAAAAAAGAACATAAAATGTAAATTCTATCGTTTTGTACGTGAGTATACATTAAAAGGTCGATGATTTTATCTTTCTCGATTTTAATAGAAAAATCGATCAAAATTTATACATTAATTTCACGACGTGAGGTCTTATTGTTTTGTCCGCGAGTAAATCACGGAGGAATTTGACGAGAAACATTTGACCTTAACGTGCTTGGACTTTGGACTCTACCAATAACGTGCCTTACGTGCGTGGATAGCACCTTCTCAACGAAAAGTGGATATAAATAAAACGTTATACGGAGTAGATCATATTGGTGGAATGAATTTGAGGAGTTGTACATTTGTAATGCTCAGAATACATTAAATTGGTGACATTTTCACTAAAATGATTGAATTAGATGTTGAGATGGGCGACATTTTATGTAAAATGATTGAATCAGTTGAATCTGATCTATTGAAAATAACCACGTTATTATTTGACAGTTTTATTCTTCTTTACATTTATATTTCATATTTTAGTAGATTTTTAACATCTTTTCTTATTTATTATATTTTGTATTGGATAGATAAAAAATTATATTTATGCTTTAAGTTATACGTAGTACAAAATATTTCCGGATTGAAATTTTACATTTTTTATTCTATAACTTTTTTTAAGTACTATAATTAAGTTCCTATTTTATATTTCATACATTTTAATTTAAATCCTACAAAATGATAAAAATATAGTAACATAAAATAAAACATTAAAATATTAATAAAATTTATTAATAAAATATTGATGTACAAACATATATATAAAGTATGAATTTCAAGTCTAAAGTTAAACCTAATTTTCATATTTATATTTTTTTAATTTTCATATTTATATTTTTTAATTTTAATATATATATTTTTTTTATTACAAATTTGACACTTTTTTTAATAGTTTAGGGGGTGGTTTGTTCAACTGTGACGGATTCAAAGGCTTATTTGAGATTTTAGTATAAACTTCAGATGCACATGTGTCAATCAGACCGGTAACGTGGATGGTCACTGACTGGTTACCTGTAAACAGTGAAATTTGAATCATATTTTGGCGGTTCGAGGTGCGAATTGAACCTTTTTTTAGTTTAGAGGCTGAATTGAGTTTATACGTCTGATACATAGACGTATTTGACCCTTTAGCCCTTTTTTCAATGGTAATAGTTCAACTTGTCAAGACACTACTTTGATTGTCACTATAACTAATTACATACAGAGTATAGTAAACATTATAAAAAGTTAATATTTTGAAAATTCACATTAATATAAATTTAATACTTTCTCCGCTCCCCTATAATTGTCTCATTTTGTCATTTTTGGATGTTCACCTATTATTATCTCATATCATGTTTGGTAACATTTGTGTGACTCTAATTCATTCTTACTTTATTCCCACTTTATCAACTCATAATCAACCACACAATTCTACTTTTGTTAAAACCTACACCACTTCCTTCCCTTCCGTCTTAGTAATAAGGGGAAGGAGGGAGTAATATTTTATTATATATATAAATTAGCTTTATGATATAAATATTAGTGTAAAATCATAATCAAATCAAGGTCGTGAATATCACAAAACTCAAAAAATATTAATAATATACACTTCTCTGAATATATATCATACACTTTTTTGATTAAAAAAAGTGTCAATCGTAGAGCACCTAATTAACTTGAATAGGGTTAGGTTAGATATTACTGTGAATAGGAGGAATGAGTCCTAAAATAGGAGTAATGTATATGGATTCCCATTGTATCATTTTTGCTATACATGCACACATATCATCTTTATTCATACTTCCTAAAATATATAAAGAAAATAAAATTTCTTAAATTTAAGTAGTAGTATAGTCAATTTCTTCAAACAGTGTTACTATTATACTCATACAAAAATAAGACTAGTTAAGTCTTAAGAACAAATTTAATCATTCTATATTTTATATTAGGACTAAGGGCTGTTTACTTTTTTTCTCATTAAGTCCTGAATGGATTAAGACGTTTGTCTGCATTAAGCTGTCTCTCTGGATTAAGTTACACTGAGATAACAAATTTAAGTATGTCTTATTGGTGAACTATTTGTATGTTTAATGTTTTCACTTTTTTTTTGTCTAGTTAATAAGTTTGCTCTACCTTGAACTTGTTAAGCCTAAATAACAAATATGGTCTAATATGGTAAAGTTTGACACATGGTATGTTTCATACGGAGTATTATTTAAATTCAGTATGATGTATATATCTTGTAAAACAATTAACAAGATTATCTTAAATATAAATAGAAACGTTTTAGAATATTCTTGAAATAAGAGTATTACGGAGTATGTTCTTTTTTAATTACAATATATTGTCATATTTAAAGTCTAACGATGGTTTATTGCGAATACCAAAATACAGTAGTAAATCTTAACAATAAGTTCGTTAATGTTACTCCCTTCGTCCCGGTCATTTCTTCCAACTTTCTTTTTTGGGCCGTCCCAATTAATTCTTCCAACTTCCACTTTTCGAAAAAATATGTGATTCACATTCATTCACCTTTTTCTTACACAACTACAACCATACATTTTCACTTGGCAATTTCTATGGTACCTTGAATGTATGGTACCTTGATGGTATGGACCAATCAAAAAATTTCAATTGAATAAGTTAAATGCAAATAAAATGTAAACCTTTGAGTTGGACCAATGAAATGCATCCTAGTTATGGTACCCTCCTATTTTTGTTGGATACCATAGCAAGCACCTTTTCACTTTATTCCTACTACCTAAATTTGCGATACTGGTCAAAACCGAAAGAAATGACCGGGACGGAGGTAGTACTTTTTTTGACAAATAAGTTCATGTTATTTAGGGGAAAAATATAGAGTGTTTTTCAATCTATTTAAATATGGTTTGGATATATAGTAATGTCGTCGGTCTAATTAATACGAAGTACTCATTTCCATGATTTAATCACTCCTCTCGCATTATACGTGTGTATATTAGAAGGCGCCGCGCCATTGCATTTACACTCATATATATAGGTTCCATAAACGTAGTGGGTTTCCTACATTAATATAAACACTCATATATAGGTTCCATGTTTCCTTACTTCATACCTCTCATTGTAAACATGAAACCAAATCCTACATTTTCTTTCATATTCACTCTCCTTTTCACAGGGCTTCTTTATACACACCTGCCCTCTGCCGCCGCGTTCCTCAGCCCCACGGGCACCGCCTCCTCTACCACCACCACCGCTCCGAACACCGAGTTCATCTATAAGAGCTGTCAGCACACACTCTACCCCGACGTATGCTACGCCACGCTCTCCGGCTATGCTAGCGCCGTGCAGCAAGACCCTGGTCGGCTGGCTCGCGTCGCCATCGCGGTTAGCCTGAGCAAAGCGAGGAGGGTGACGACTTACGTCAACAACAACCTCTCTCCCCTGGCCGATAACGGCGACGACCACCGAGTCACGGCGGTGCTCAACGACTGCTCCTCCACCCTCGGAGACTCCGTTGACCAAATGCAGGACTCGCTCATGCAGATGAAACGGCTAGGCGGCTCGGCTGACGAGCAAGGGTTTCAGCTCAACAACGTGCTGACGTGGATGAGTGCTGCCGAGACGAACGAGGACACGTGTGTGGACGGTTTTGATGATGTGGAAAGTGGGCCCGTCAGATCCGGCGTGTACAATGGGGTGGTGAAGGTTAAGGAGCTGACGAGTAATGCGCTGGCTTTGGTCAACGCCCTTGCCAATAAGGTTGCAATCCCATAAATTCATGTTGGAGTACGCCATGTAATATCCGTCTAATTTGAATAGTTTTTTTTTTAATTAATGATGGTTTGATTGGTCATAGTATTATGGTCTATATGAATATTGGTCTATGTGATTTAATTATAGAAGTAATTAAGTAAACTTGTGTAAAAATTCCATCCTATAAATAGAGCTAATTAATGTGGTGGAATTCTAACAAATATGCATTATATCACGCCCCTATGCCCTTAGAGAAGAGTGCATATTTGTCACAACTTTGATGGCAATATCTATGGTAGCCTAAGCCTAGTAGAGAATGTAATTGCATGTACTATTTCTTGTGTATCAACAAAACTGACTTCATGTTTATTATAATATGAATTATATGATGGTTCTTACTTTTGTAAATTATGTGGACCAATTTTATGTTCTTACTTTTGTGTTCATTTATAGAATACGGAGTATAAGGATGTTTGGAACTGATTCTAATTCTGCTTCTTTTTTAAAGCAGAAGCAGAATAAGAATCAGTTTTCAGAAGTTCGTACCATCAGCTTCTAAAAAAACTGATTCTGAGAGTAAATTAGAGCATCAGAAGTGCTTCTGGAATTTCACCCAAACACTCCAGCTTCTGCTTCTACTCTCTGAAGGAGCAGAATCAGTTTTGAGAATCAGATCCAAACACCCCCTAAGCCTATTATTATTTCGGTTTAAATTATCCTGCAATTTTTATGATATTTAATTTGTGTTCCTTTTTCCGGAGAGAAGCATATGTATAGGTGACTTTTAATGAAAACGTTTTTTCAAGTTTGATTAACGTTTAAATTATCCTACAATTCTAATGATATTTAATTTGTGTTCCATTTGAGTGATTCAAGTAATTACTAGTATTTCATTATTTATTCATATTTAAATTGTTCAATTATAATAAAATTTTAATTGGTCCACATGGATAAGAGTTTATGTCACTTTTAGTCTTTTGACTATTGGGTTAGTGGCATTTTTGGTGCTCCATTTTAAATTTTCCACTCTTTTTCCACTTTTAGTTCTTCGATTGTATATTTATATGATACACATTTTTGTTACTCATCTTTAAAATCTTCAATATTTTAGTCATTCAATTTTAATAAAAGTTTTTGTCCTTCAACTATTATGAATAATAACTGTTTTAGTATTTTACTTATTGTGTCAAAATCATAATGGATTGATCGAAGTAGATTTGACAATACTCAGAAGATTAAAATGTGAATAATTTTGTAAGTGAAAGACTAAAAGTGTTGCTAGTACAATAGTTGAAGGATTAAAATTGGGGAAATAAAAAATCATGTACTAAATTGTCATTGACAAAAACTCGCATGGATGGTGAATATAGTATGATAACTTAAGCGTTCTATAGAATTTGACTTAAATATATTTAGTCCTCCATTATAAAGTTTGACTTATTTTAAATCAAATGCATTGTGTTTCAACTTTATGATCGATTTGGATATGATTCAAACGGTTGGTGACTTTATGTTTGTACGCTTTAAATAATTTTTATAATTTCAAATTAAAATCACATATATACCAAACGAGTTATGTATTTTTGTAGTATGCATGACATTACTTACGTGTATCTAATTCTGAGCAATTCTCAAAATTACACCAACTATCAATCATTTTTGTCAAAGAGCTTAAATTATACATTTCAAAATTAACTTTGACTTTAGCGAAGTAGGTACCACAAGATAGTACGGAGTAATTAATATAACTAGGCAGCTGGCAGCTATTCAAATGAAGAAGACGAATAGTTTTCCTACGAATTAAAGCTCTACGACTTGCAAAATCCCTTTGCAAGCAAGCTTGCCAAATATAGGAATACATATTTCAAACTAGGTAATAAACTTGGGTTTTTCAACTTGATGGATGAGGTACAGTGTATATAATTAAGAAATATATTTATCGAAGATGTTAACCTGCGCCAAAGTAAAATATTCCACCAATTTCCCCTTTTGTGAGAGATTGCATCATGTTCAACCATCTTAACATCACATGCATTACAAAGCAGGTAGACATGATTATACAATTTTAGCCCACAGATGTAACTTTACATGCACCTTTGGTCTATCATTATGAATTTCATCATTTTTACTCCTAAGTTTTAAAACAAGAAATCAATGTAACAAACATTGTGATGACTCGTTCCTCATGAGTCTTAATCATTATATGTGATATATAAACTTTACAACTGGCCTTTTTAAAAGTGTGTGGTGCTTAAAACTGCATTGCTAGAAGTGGTATTTAATTTCCTCCGCCCTACAAGGTAAGATGTATTTGGGGATTTGACACGAGTTTAAGAAAATAAAGAATATAGTAGATCGTTTTTTGGGGTTGGTGGGTGTAGTCCAATGCATGATCATTCACCTCCAAATCTCTCGAGATATTGGGTTCAATTCCCACCAAGGGAAGATGAGGGAGGTCTTGCTCCCAATGATTCTTCCTATCTTCACGGAGTTGCCCATAGGGTCATGGTAGGAGTATGGGTAGGCAAAGGTTAGGGGTCAAGGTGTTAGGGGTAGGGGCAGGGTGGGTAGATATCAGAGTAGGGGTAAGGGGTAGGGTCAAGGTAAGGTAGGTTAGGTTAGGTGTAGGGGTAGGGTGCGGGTAACAATAACAGGTAAGGGGAAAGGGTAAGGGTAAGGGTAAACTCGGAAATCAAAAAAGCTTAAAGTACCTGATGGATAGTCTACCCGGGGGGTATATATCCGAAGGGTTATTGCTAGAATAACTTAGAGAGAAGTCATAACATAAGCAAGTAAGAGAGAGAGTGTATTCAGTATGAATGTCGTGGTTTACAACGGGGGAAAGGGGGTGCTATTTATAGTAGCAATAAATGCCGGACAGGGACACGTGTCAAGCATCCATTGGCCGAGAGGTCACCTCATCCGGTTGGCGCTGGCAACCGCATGTGGCCGCATTTAATGCGGCTGTTGGATGGGACGTTGTACAGGGTACGGTGATCTGTACGCGCGTGGAGAGGAGATCTTGTCGAGTGAGGTGCCTTCGGCTATAGAGCAGAAGCTGAGGGCTCCTCAAACCGAGGGAACCCTGGTGCCGAGGGCTCCTGGTGCCGAGGGCTACTGTTCTCGCCGTTTTCTCCCAGTTTCTTAGTTTGCTTGAGAAACCTGTTCTGTGAGAGTTCAGAGCCTTCGGCCAGGGGGTCGAAGGCACCCCTGGTGCGCATTGTGGGCTGCTTGGTACTTCGGGCGCCATGATTTGGGCCTGTTGGGCCTTCTGGGCCTGTTGGGCCTTTACTGGAGTAGTAGGAGTCTGTGGGCCGGGGGTTCCCGGGCCATATACTCCATCAGGAGTTCCTCACTCCTTTTGCCGAAAGGTACTTGAGGGAAAAGGAGTAATTTGTGCTTGCCCTTTGATGTTGTCCTGTCGTAATCTCTGATGTTGTTGAGGAGTTGTTGCTTTCATGTCCCTGCCAGGCAGTCCCTCAGTTACCCACATGTCGGGACTTGAGGGCTTGCTTTGCCGTTTGTTGGAATTTTTCACCAACTTTGTAATTTAATGATTTTCCCGAGGGGGTCCTCCAGTCCCCCACTCCTTGAGGCACTTGTAAAGTGGTGAAAAGGAGTAGAGTAGTTGCGTTGCTGTTGTGGGCCGAAGGCTGACGCTTTTCGTTTCATTTTGGGGGGATGCCTCGTTAAAAACCTCATTAGGAAAAACCCTGGGGGAAAAAATCCTAATGAGGGAAAAAGAGTGCACCGAATTCCCCCAACGATGAATCGAAAATTTGAAACCTTGGTAAAAAATGGAGAATAACGGTAATGCCAAAGGCTCTCCTTTTTCTGAGGGCTCATGTGTTCATTAGCCGAAGGCTCTCCTTTTTCTGAAGGCTCATCTGTTGATTAGCCGAAGGCTTGCTGTTGATGTCCCGGGGGTGCCGAAGGGGAGCTCCTCAATCTGGGGATCGAGGGCGCGAAGGATGAGGGCAGTAGTTGAATTGTCACCGGGGGGTCCCCTGTTTGTTGATTAGTTGGTGATGGGGATATCCGGGGGCTCCCATTACCTGCGTGCTGTAGGCTATTCCGTCAATGAGGCATACTCCCCGGGGGCTACCCGGTCCTTACAGTGCTGAGGGGAAATCCCCGAGGGGTGGCCTGTCATGAAGCCTTGGGCTTCTGAAGGAGTGATCCCGAAGGCGTCTGTCATGTGCTGTGTGGGGCACAATCCGGGGGCGTCTCTGGGTAAGTGTACCCGGAGGCTCTCCTTGATGAAGTGGAGTGAAGTAGAAAACCCGGGGGCTTCCAGAATATAGCCGTTGGAAATATAGCCGTTGGAATATGTATCGGCGGGATATAGCCGTTGGGGGAGGAGGACACGTGGCGCGTGACGGTTGGCTGCCCGTGGGCGGCGTCACCGGTTGGGTGAAAACACGGCGCGTAATGATGACGGTCCGTCCGGAGGCCCGGTTTCCGGGCCCAGGCCCGGTTTCCAGCGCCTATAAATACCCCGAAGCTAGAGTCATTCCTTCCTGCGCGATCACCTGTCTTAGCGAAGCTCTGTCGGAATTTTTCTAGAGAGAGAAAATCACCCTCGATCATAGCAACTTTCAGAGGTCAGTTCTTCCTTCGTTCCTTAGCTCTATTTGAGTACTTAGCTTTTGGCCTTAGGGTTAGGCTTTAGGACCCTTCAGGAACCCTTCTTTGTACGAGTTTCCCGACCCCTCGCCTTTCTAGAAGTAATGTCGTCAGCTAGCGATTCCCAAGACATCTCCAGGGAGGCTTCAGTGAACGTCGAAGTGGCGTCTGACGTGGAATCCTCAAGTGAGCAGCTCTCGGTCATCGATGATAGGGCCGTAGCCGAGGCGATACAAGGTGACCTTCGGCTTGAGCTCGAGGCCGAAGACTTCGAGCAGGTGAACGCGGATGAAGAGCTTGCCATCGCCTGTCAGGTGGCCGAGGACGAGGCCCAGAAGGAGGGCCTGAAGGTGACTGTAGCTATCCCTCCCCCTCGATGTGATACCGAAGCTGGGAGCTCCCGGCCTTTAGACGCCATACCCCTCAGTGTGGCCCCAGGGCAGAAGAGAAAGAAGGTGAGGACGGCTCCGAAGAAGAAGCAAGCTGCCGTCGACGCTGGCCAGCCAGTGGGACTGCCCGAGGGCTATTCTTTCCTGAACACGGCCGCCTTGGAGGTCAAGAATAAAGCTACCCGAGGGGAGATGATGGCGGTACAATTTTTGGTTGGGCCTTCAGCGCAGGTGGTAGAGCCAAAGCCGGATGATGTGCTCCTTCGTGCCCCCGAGGGTTGTTTTTCCTTCCATCTGCTTTCAGTGGAGTTGGGTCTCAGATTTCCTCTTCATCCCTTCGTGTTGGAATACCTACGCTTCGTCAAACTAGCCCTCTGACAGTTGACCCCGAAC